GCTAGTCCCTTTTCGCTTTTGTTTGATTCATCAAGGTAGCGAGCATAGAACGAAGTGAGTTTGGGTAGAGCCAGCTAGGGGGACATTTTAGGGAAGGGGGGGGGCAGGAAGCCGAAGTCTATGGGCATCAATGCTAAAGGCGTGAATGAAATTCGATTAGGAGCAGTTCGTTTGGCCCGAGGCTAGGAGGAAAATTGTGGGACGATTGTTCGGGCCTCATTGCGTTGATTGCGTTTGCTCATTGTGTTGCTCATCACACTAGCAACTGACACGCCACTTGACATCTTCACGTCGGCGAAATTGACCGAGCGCTTGTACCTTTGGGGTTTTTTCCCTTTGAACGCCTTCCCATGGGAGATAAGCTATGGGAATTACTCGTAATGAGCAGTTATTTAGCTACTGCTCTTATAGAGTGGCACATGCTCATCCATTCTTATTGGTAGTAGTCGAGGGCTTGATTGGCACAACAGCCTTGTTTTGGTCGTATAGGGGAGAATGAACGGAATTCGTTGGAAAGCGCCCCATTCCAGCACGGGAGTGGTCGCGCAGTGTAAGTCTCCTCCTTACGCTCAAATTTCCCATTCCACCCCGTCATCGTCTCGCGTATTACACAGATGGAATGGCGATACAATGCCATCAGCCGCTCGACGACTTTCTTACCCGCCCGTGACACTTCGATCCTCTCCTCCTCCTCCTCCTCCTCCTCGGTCTCCTCGGGCACTCTTTAACGGACCACCACGACTTCCTGTATACGCCTTGAAAGTGTCTCCGTTGTCAGGGCGGGGTTTTGCTGCTTTCTGCTGCAAAGAGGATCGATTCACTGAGCCAAGCCAAGCTGCCGAATAGCTTAACAGCTGGGCGAAACTTGCAATTCCTCTGTTCTCGTTTAATTGCCATTATTCTCCACTGGAAAACATGCCGCATTGCCCAGTTGGGATTCGTTTCAGGGAGATTCCCTTGACAACAGGCCATTTCGGAAAGGGTGTAAATGAGTCGTTAAATAGGGAACCGGGCATAGAGCCAGTTGATTTCTCTCAAATTTGCATATATGCGACCGAACCGACCGAATGAGAACGAGAGATACGGGGGGGACGATGGCTGGCAGTTGTGTGTGGCCGGCCCAGTTTGCGACCAAACGGACGCTCGTCCTATCATCGTCCACGTATCTTCCTCGTTGCGTTTCATTGCGTGGGCTCGTTTCAATTCCAGGCTCTTTTTCTGTTTTTGCTGCCGCTGAGGCTCACGTCGTCTCAGTCCCACCAAAACAAGTCGTTTAGGGCCGGCGAGCGCTGCGTTATTCTGCTCGTCCATGGCTATCAAGGCTGGTGATCTCTCTCATTCTACTCACGATGAGTCGTTCTCCGACTCTGAAACTTTTCATCAATGTCATGCTCTCCTTGTCTACGGGTTTATTTACCGATCAATTGGGTTCCGCCCGGTTCCCCGCCTCCAAATGAATCGCACTCATCGAATCACCCACCACCAACACACGTCAAATGTCACCCCGCAATATGTTGCATTTTGCAGTGTAGGAGGTTCGAACAAACGATGAATCAGCTGCCCTTTGGCCCAGATGCTGCAAGGGGGGGGGGCGTTCCCGATCCTAGAGCTAAAGTATGTTCCCATTTGTCAGAAGAGCTAGAGCTCTCCATGTTGGAATTTCTTGTTTTTCTTGTTTCATGAGAGCCGATGGGAGTTGTTTTGACTCTTTTCGCTCTCCTTTTCTGTCTGCGATTCTCCCAAAAGATGCCTCGGACCTCATTTGTGCCTCGTTTGGAAAAAACTCAGCCTCTATCAGAGTCTTACTCAATTTCTTTCCAGGTAACCTCAAGCAATCGCCATGGCTTTCGAAACCAACTATGTGAGTTTTTTTCTTTCCAATAGTTCGGATTAGTTTTCCTTCAGTTTGTTTTGTTGTGTGACTTTGACGGGGCTAACTAGGAGGAGATCGATTTCTACCGCAGCAACAGCAGCACTTCTCGTCTGTCTGCAGTCTCTGAGCGATTCCTCGTGGATTAGCTTTGCCTCGAGTCCTCACACAAACACACTGCACTACTACATCATCGGTATTACCACAGTTCATGTTCTAGCCAATTCCATACCGAAGCAAGCTGACCGAGCCGTTCGAGCCTGGACAGACCCTGACTGTGAAAGGAAAGACTGGCGAAGATTCCGTCCGGTAAGCTCTTTCTTCAACCACCTATTAGCCGCGTTTTTTTCTGGTTTGTATTTTGGATTAAGGGCATTACGGTAAGTGATGTGTTTGTGTAAGTGTATGTTTGTGGAATGTGCTCGTCGCTCTCGCCGTCGCCGTCGTTGGTTGTTGGTGTGTGGGTATGAGGTGGCAGCAGTGAGGCGGCGGAACCGGTATTGACGACAACCACCGAGAGAGCGGCACATCAGTGTAGAGGGCAGCCGTAAGGTGCTATATTACACAACAGCAATTTGTTGCTCGACGATTTCAACGTCAGACTACTCGGAAAAAAATGTTTACCAGTTGCAACTACTTGTAAACACTCGACTAAACAACAGAGTAAACACTGAACGAATTACATCTCAATTATAATAACATCTAAATAACCCCTAAACTTCGCTAATCTTTCGCTTCTACCAAGATTTGGCCCATAAAGTTCCACTCACGACACGTCCTACCGTTTCCCTTCCCCCCTCTCCCATCCAGGTTACCTTCTTCCTAACAGTACCACCTTACCACCGCGTTCCCTTTCTATTTCCCCAGAGAGCTGTGGAGCGAAGTGGGGGGAGGGAGGGAGAGACACTGCACGTGAAACAGGAAAACCCGAGAAAAGCCAACAAATCCGTTTTTTTCGACCTTTTCTCCCCTTACCCATCCCTCAGTCATTCAAAAATCCCAACTTTCTGCCTTTTCCTTCCTTCT